GGAGGAGGCTCTGAGGAAGACCCAGGACACGCTGGAGGGACTATGTTTCTCGGCTGGCCTAGGAACGCCTTGGGATTCCCCCTGGACGAGCTGGTCCAAGTGGCTGGAGAGAGGGGAGTCTGGGTCTCTCTGCTTAGGCTGCTGCCCCTGCGACCCGATCCCAAATAAACGGCAGAAAACGGAGGGACGGACCATAAGGACATTCCTAGGGATGTGTACGTTTGACTTTTGAATCGATTTGGTACCAATATCCGGTACCTGGGAATCGGTACCGGCACTTAAAGGTACCAATTTTTGGTACTGCGTGTGTGTTGTTGTTTTTTTTTTAATAATAAACTTATTTTTTTATTTAACATATTTATTACTCAATATTTAAAATTTAACAAATATCAGGACAGCATCCAACTCTTTGTATTGTAAAATCAGTTGTTTAACAAACTTCTTTAAAGTGAAAACTCTTGAAAACAAGACGCAGTGTTTTCTTACTGCACGAATTAAAATCCAGCTCCACGTATTTCTACTGATGTTATTTCCCCGCAAGAAAAATTGTGTGATGGGGGTCCATAGAAGGCAAATAAGTTTAATTCAAATTATCAAAAAGGGGATGGAGTTAAAATAAATAAAGGTATTCAAGCTACTTTTTGAGCATCCAAAACACGCACAACACTTCAAGTTGGCTGCTTGTGCTCTTTCAGGTCAGACGCGTTCCGTGTGTCGGGAAGCTCCTCTGTTGTTTTCCTCTGCTGGTCTCTGTTTAATGGTGGATGAAATAAAGAAAGTGGCCGTACTTTATTTACTTTGAGCAAGCGAACGTCGTGCTCACAAGATAATTAATCCACCAGATAATTCAGAGAACGGTCTGTTCRGCGAGTTTCACTCCAGGAGCTGCGAGGCTCGCTTTCAGGCTACATTCAAACCGAACTCTGTTTACTGAACCAGCGGCTGCTGACGTCATTACGCTGTTGTGCGATGCGGCGTTCAGGACAAGCATGGAAAATCTCCCACTCTTACACCAATACAGCCACAATGATGCGTTTAGATACCGAAAAATGGTACGGTTGATGTTACATGAATAGTTCTCGGTATTACCGACAGAATTCGGTCGGTACTTATAAAAGTATCAAATTCAGTACCCATCCCTAGATATGCCCTCTCTGAAACTTAATTTGAGTCAAAAGTAAGACTTCAAACTTAAAACTAGTTTTTAAGTTGTGTTGATAGGCAAAGTTAAATCAGAATTATGATAAAATATAAAATGCCACATTTTTTCTCGAAGCAAGCATGTTAGTGTGGAAAAAACAGTGCAATACATCATCAGTTTCCTCCTCCTTTTGAACCAAAAAATATATAACCCCCCCCCTCCATCTTTCTTCTGACAAAGGTCCAAAGGACCCCCACCACTCCACCCCCCCCACACACACACACACCTGTTTGTGCTGCTATCTTTTAAGATATTAATAAAAGTTTCCAGAGGTCACCAGGGGTCAACCAGCCCACCCACATTACCCAAATCAAATAAAACTAGTGCCAATCAACTGTGCTAGGTTTGTGCTGCTCAAATCTTTGTTTGCGGTGCTTTTGTTTTGAATACATTAATGAAAGTGCTGAGGTCAAAAGGTCATTCACCCCCCCCCCCCCMCACACACAAACACATTAACCGAATCAAACAAAATTGGTGTCAAACATTTATGTTATGTTTGTGCAGCAAACATTTTTGTTTTTGCCACTATTGTTTTTAAGATATTAATAAAAGTTTAGGTAGGTCATCTGAGGTCAACCACTTTACCCAAATACATAAACTTTTATTATCTTAAAAATGATGGCAGTACAATTTTGTTAAATTTGAAAGKGGGGCTTCAATCAGGTGGTTCAAAGTTATTTGTCAAACAGCAAAAATATCTACAGGACWAAGAAAATAAAGTGATGCRAAATTTCAATGAAGTTTGGCGGCAATGAAGAGAAAAGCGAGCGTGATAAATGGTAGGTAAATGGACTGTACTTACATAGCGTCTTTCTATCTGACCAGGATACTCAAAGTGCTTCACACTACAATCTGTGCCCTCATTTACCCATTCACACAGCACTATTATGTTTCTACAAAGCTAACATGTACAATCAACTATGGAGACTAATCAGTGCCAGTCACATTCATACACTGACGGGACACACATCAGAGGCACTGGGGTGAAGTGTCTTGCCCAAGGGGGATCAAACCGGTGACCTATCAGCTCCAGGACRACTCCCCTAACCACTCTTCCACTGCCGCCCAAGCCGAGTGTGGGAAAGTAATTCGATTTGTGATATTTGTAGCACTACACATGCGCTTAGATTTTATAGCTAGGGTGTAGTTCATTATTTACTGTAGACTTTAGTTTGATCAATTTTAGTCAAAATGAGGCTGCATTGAGCCGAGCTTGGAGATTTGGCTCTATGCAGAGTGGGAATGCTGTGGCCCGCCCAGTYTCTAAACCCACACTGGTTGGGCCAACAGAACCAGCATCAGTTCTGAGCTATGGAGAACAGTGTAGGATGTTTATGTTGCCCCAGAGGTAAGCAGGTTCCAGCTACAGGAACAGCTGAGTCCAGTTAGACCCACTTTCCTGCTCCAGCTGCTCTGATGTGCTGCTGTCACTCAGGCTGCTGCTGAGTCGCAGGACACTTGTCCTTTATTATATTGCAGAGAATAAAATCTGATCACATACGTCTTTTAACGCCTTAAGAGTCGCCCCTGAAATTCCTTGAATGTCTTTTGCCATTTATTTTATGCAAGGGTGTCAAGGTAAAGAAAAGAACTGGAGGAAGACATCCCTGGTTTTCAAAAAAAAAAAAGAGGCCCCCAGTAGCACCTGGAAACATCTAAAAAGTTTTAATGGCAGAAACCACACACCTTTTGCCCACCGGTGAAATAAAGACTGGTTTAGGTTTCAGAATAATCTGAGTCCTACATTTGTTTCCACGTGTTGGATAATTTAATTGGTATTTGTGCCAATAAAGTTTATTTCCTCCTCTGCTCATATATAAAGTAGAGTTCATGGGGCTCGAAAAAATAAATAAATAAATAAATAAAAAACTCTGAAAGTTTAAATCTGGTGTGTTGATTTCCTCCTCTGCACGTATATGAAGAGATGCTCACTGGATTCAGATTAAAAACAAAAAGCAGAAAGTTTAAATTAGGTGTTCTGATTTACAAAGCCCGCAGCTTACGGTTGCATCTTTAGTTGCTGGATAATTTTAGCCAGTATTTGTTCCAGTAGAGTTTATTTCCTCCTCTGCATCAGGGCTCTAGGTCGCAAATGCGACCTGATTTCCTAATAGTGCGACTAAAAACAATGTCCGGTCGCAATGGTGCGACCAACAGTTCGAGGGGGAGGGGTCGCGATCGCCCGCTGAAACTAAAAGTTTCCATCATGTTCTATAAAAACTTGAATCCAGCAGTCTCATCTCTCTGTGCTCTGCTCGCGGGCTCCGCTCCACACCTCCTGCGCGTGTGCGCGCACGCACGCACGCACACACACACACACACTGTTGTTCTGTCCTCATGGGGACTTTGCATTGGCTTCCATTCATTTCCCTGTCAATTCTATAGCCAACCATAACCTCCCAGGTAGGCTACACACCTGACCCAAACCCAAACCTCACCTGGCTTTGTGTAACAGGGACACGCGTGTGCGTAAACGCATAGCGAAACAAGCGGTTTTTTTTAACCCAGATCGGAGTCTGAAAAACTTTTTTTTCTTGTTAACTGTGGAGATGAAAAGATGTGGACGGTTGCTTGYTCTTAAGTCCATCTTGCTAAACTTCGAGTTCTGCTCTGTGAGCTGCAGATCATTTCAGCAGCATGAGGAAGCTCACATGAATGGCAAGCCGCTTCCGCACTTAATCGGTTTCACCACAGTTACATTCAAAGTATCTGAAATCGGTTCTTCTTGGTCTCAGGGGGATAAAACTAGACAGATATTTAAGTGAAATAATGTAAGRTAATAAGATTTAACTAATTCTAATGAAATTGCAGATTATTATTATTATTATTATGATTGTGTGTGTGAATGGGTGAATGTCTGTAAGTGTAAAGTGCATTGGAGGGACTTGTGCTCTATAAGTTACCATTTTACCATTTCCCTTCAGAATGAACATAACTAAAGAAGGTAAAGAAGTCAGCATCCTCACACTGCATGTGCTGTGACATGACCCAGTTGTGGAGCAACCGGTAGTTTTCCACCGAGCCCTTCACCATTTCCACCAACAGGTCATAGGCAGCCGCCCTGGCAGAGTGGGACTTGCATTTGGGTTGTGCGCGGTCAGCCAAGCTAGGGAGGAGGAAGAGCAGGTTGTAGACGTCACGCAGGAACTCCTGCCCCTCGCGGGAGAACTTAAAGGAAGGTTTGTGTTTGAGCACACTGGTGGCAAGACGCAGGAGGCCCGTCAGCCCGTCATCTTCAACGGTTCCATTCTGCTGATCTAAGATCTCTCGACTACAGAGGAACAAAAAAATAAATACTTTAATTACAGTTTACTCGACAGTTCAGTATTTCTCAGAGAAAATTACGTGGTTGTGACTGACCTCCGAATGCAGTCAGCAAGATGTCTAGCAAGAGCATCAAGGTCCAGCAGGGTAGTCTGCATTGAGCCGGTGAAAGAGGGAGAGACATTCTTTGAGTTCAAACAATTTAAAACTAGCAGCAGTTCAATACAAAACCAGAAACAGACCACACACTACTAGGGATGGGGCCAATCTGATCCTATAACGGAATTGGGTTCTGATAAAAACATAATTCATGGATAGGAATTTTCCAATGCAAAATGAAGACATTCCCGATCCATGAGCCATGTCTGTGTTTTAATGTTGTCTGTTGAAATGACTTCAGAAGTAATTACCTGCCAGATGCTCTGCTAGCTGACTGCAAACTGGAATGAATTTCCTGAACTAAGACATGTCTCATTACTCTGAGACAGGAAATCCATTCCACTATTTGATGTCAACTAAACCAACTTTTCATCACAACATGACTGTGTGTGAGAGACTTCAAAGTCAGTTCAAATTCAAAAATACTTTAATGATCCCAAAGGGAAATTAAATGCTGTAGTAACTCATTTACCTAAAGCGTTTTTGTATGGTATTGATAGACAGAAGAATCTTCGTCTTATTTGATTTATTGTTCTCTTAACTGAAAGTATTACGCATTTTGATAATCAGAGAATGTTTATCAAAGTTACAGGAGAAAGGAGGACAGACCCCTTTTCTCCCTCAGTATGATTTCAGCTATGACTGGATTTTCTGTGGGAAAAATTCTTATTTAACTAATATAATCTTTATGGTTTAAAGTGATGAAACATCACTGTTTTACTTG